ACCTCTGGCAGGACCCTTTGCTCATCCTCATCTCACGCTTGGTAGCCGCCCTGTCCAAGGAGCATCCCACATGGCTGCAGGGTCCTCGAGCCTCTCCGAGGACGAAGGGACCCTCTTCCCTGCAAGGAGCAGCATCTCGGGCCACCCGCACGAGAGCAGAGCTCGCCCCGCTCGCGGTGGCACTGGCCATAGCGAGCACAGAAGACAGCAGCAATTACGGCACACGCAATTAACGGGCTGCTAATCTCCAGCCTTGCGTGTAATTGCTGCCGTCAAATACAATTAGCGTCTGCCCAAGTTAGCGTCTGCCCAAGTTCCCTTCCCAGAGGGGACAGCCGGGCCGTGTCGCGGAGCGCCAAGGAAAGGCGCGGAGTGCCTGCCCCTTCAGGCGAGTTTCCCTGCTCTTTTTGCCCCCTCGTGATCCTTGGCCCACAAATGGGGGCCAGAAACGTCAATCTGGGGCGTTACGGGGATGCAGAGCAGGCGGGGGTCTGCTGCTGCCTTGAGGCGCTGAAGTGACTGAGTCAAATTTGTCATCTGAGACTATGTGAGCTTAATCACAGCTCAATCAGCTCGCTTGAAGCATTTACCCTTAACTTCATGTCAGCCTGCGGGGGTGGCAGCCGAGCCTGTCCCAGATGTCACCCAGGGAGCTCTGGCACAGGCCAGCTCTTCTGCTGCCATTCCCAGCACTGGGAATGCCTCCCGGCTCCCTGCTTCCCTGTGTGGGAGCCCAACAGGTCCGTGGAAGCAGGAGGGGCCCTGTCCTCCGGCGGCGCTCCTGCCACAGTGGCTGCAGGACTCGGTGCTGCCCGGGGCTCGTCTTCCAAAGGCAAGATGTGTCCCCTGCAGACACCGCTGCTCACTCATCCTGCAAGAGGTGGATTATGCATGTGGAATAAATGCTGATTTAAATCTGTGCTATGTCTTCCCTGCTTCAAAGAAAAACCTTTCAGAAAAAAATTGGGGACAGTATTTCTCATATCGTTCCCATATACCACATGCTGCAGCTATTTTGATGTAAGCTTTCTCTGGCTCTGAGAAAGAGCAAACAATATGATAAATATGCTCTGAACTTGGGCTAAAACAACTTTTTTCCTATGCATTGCAGTGTCTCAGCTTCATGGGTCTCGCATGTAGCTCTCATTTAAGTCTTCTCACCTTTTCTGCTTCCAAGCTGCGTGATGATACAGAGCTAAGTTTTGACCACGGCTTTAGCCAGTGTAATTTGGAAGACAAATGTTTTGATGTTAAGCACCTTTTACTAGGGACTTTGTTTTTTCCTTTAGATATGTAGATTTGTATGGAGAGAGATGTTTAACTTTATGGGTGAGGGAATTCAAAGCTGGAACTCGTACTGTCCTTGCTGTTGTGCAGCACCTCTGTGTGCCATGTCAGCTTGAGTGTCCCTTGTCCCGTGTCCATAGCAGCTGTGCACAGGTGGGTCCAGCTCAATCCCTGAGCTAACTGTCACTAGTAACAACTCTGAGGGTTGTTCTGCAGCAGCTTTAGCAGGTTTTGGCAGGTGAGTTGGAAGGAGTCATCGCGAGGTCCTGTGGATCTGCTGTCTTCACGTCTATCGGAACCATCCTTAGGCTCTAAGATGAAACATAATAAATGTGTGGCCCCTCTTCAGGTTAACCCAAGAGGTCGACCCACCAGGCCAAACCTCTGCCAGAGAAGTACTGTCCTTCCTCTATCAAATGGTAACTCTTACCCCATCTTCAAAAGCTCAAGAAGGGAGGTGGATCATGCAGCAAGCACTGGAGACTTGTGGGACCAAAATAAAAGGTGATCTCAAACCTGCAGCCCTTGCAAAGTAAATGTTTGTCTCTGTAGTTCCGGCTTTTTCCCCTTTCCATAATGCTTAGTATGTTAAAACTATCTTCTCCTTTATTTTTCAGTCTTGGTTAGACTTTAATGTTGTTAAAGCTTGTAAGTGAGTTTGAGCTCCTGCCTCATTGAAGAGGAGATGGAGCTGAAATTGTCAGTGAGGCATTGGACAGGGTTTTCTAATGTGTCTGTCATTACATGTTAACCTCTGAACTGGAATGCGACGGCTCTTTTAAGGCTGACAACAATTTAAAGGTATACGTCTTGACATCATGCATAAAGGAAAGAGGGGGAGTGGGGAAAAATGAATTAATGATGTTAGCGAATCTTAGTCCCCGTATTTCTGTTTTGTTCAGAAAGTGCTTGTCAGGCTGGAGCAGCATTGCCAGTGACAGCCACTCAAGATCCGATTGTACCTCAACTCCAGCGGGTCTTTTATTGACAAATACAGTGTATTGAGGCAGCAAGGAGGGTGCTCGGCTGTCCCCTTGGAGAGAAGGACAGCTTTTCTCCCCGAATTCTCAGTGACATGTGAGAATGAGGGTTTCAGGGTTCTGTGGGGTTCCCTGGGCCCGTGCGCGAGTCCATCAGGCGCGCGGGGAGTTGGACCCGTCTCTTGGTGAGTGTGGATGTTGCATATAGAAACACGGGGTCATCTGTGGTTTATGCTAGCTCTGGTCAGCTGGATCCACCTGCTGAAGCTGGCTGTCAAGTGTAACAGTGACTCTGGTATCAACCTTAATTTAAAAAAAGCAGCAAAGAATCAATGCATGGGAGTTAAAGGTAAGCATGGGAAATTGCAGTGCCTCTCAGGGCATTTCTTACATTATTGCCTTTTCATGGAGCTCCTGTGCGCTGCTGCTGCTGCTTTGGCACTCAAGTGCATTCCTCCAAGGTATCTTCCTGCCTTATTCCAAGCTCTCACTTGTTGCCACAGTGGGAGGCTGACCTCACGCTCCTCATACTTCCTGAATTTTTCCACTCTTACATAGTCCCGACTCCAGATGTAGGTGCCATTTTGTGCCTGGGATTCAGGCTGCGAATGATGGGAGCCTGAAATCTTGTTACTTCTTAAATACCATTAGTTAGGTGCATCCCTGCAGCGCTTTGGGGTAGCGCTGCCAGCAGTGAGTGAAGTAGAGCTGATTTAATTGAGAGCTGCATTGTTAATTATTAGCACCATTTAAAAAGGCAGACAGAAAAGAATTGCAGTCTCACAGTTTTAATTTCATTGTGGTTTTCAAGGTAATGTGATTTTAAACTCCGTGGTTGTCATCTCTGTGTATATATGTGGCATTTGCTTTATTTTTGCAGACTAAAAGCACTTTTTCACTGTAGAAATGCTAAGAGACTTGAGAGGGAGCATGCCTGCATGTCACAGATCCCCTCAGCCAGCACGAGTGACGGCGGAGGCAGCGGTTCCCGTGATGGGGATTCATTCCCTTTTCTGTGCTTGTGTGTTATGTCCCTTATGAGTTTGCTGGTGGACACGTGTGTGTTAGTGCCCAGACAACATGGGTGGGGGTGGACAAGTGAGCTCCTGGTATAGGCAGCTGCCGACGATGGGTGGATGGGAGGAAAGCAGGTTGTATCCGACTCACTGCTGAGTTTTCCGTGCGTTCAGGAGGAAGCGCTTCTTGAAGTCTGCATGGATCTGCCCTTGGAATTCCTGCTATGGCAAAAGTTAGATCCCCGATGGTATTTCTAATACCTTCACATTTTAAATCCTGAGAAGGTATCTGAGATTTTTGGGGATTAATTTTGCATAATCTTGTTTTATGTATACAGGACGATGAAGGAACAAGCTTAGCTCAAGGCTCGTAAATTGAATATTTGAGTTACCTTTTTCTGTGTAAAAGAGATGAGATAAAAGCTGCTTAGACAGAGTAACCTATATACAGGTTAAGACCCAGAGAAATTCTTGCCCAAGCGTTTTTGGGAAGGGCTTTATCGTTAATTTTCTCCATGACCTTATGTGTACTTGATCAACGTAACGAATCCTTGGAGATGCATTAGTTGTGCAAAGGCAATAACCTTAATCCAAGAAACCTTTTTTTACAATTTCTGCTTCAAGAAAGATGAAATGTATTTTCTCAAGTGTTGTTTCTAACCTTAAAAAATAACATCCAAAATTTGCCATGGGGAAGAAATGAAAAAATATAGATTAAAAACAAACAGACAAAAAACCTTCTTGCAGTTTCTGAAGCTGGTTAAATGGCTACAGTGTCCCTCAGCATCCAAGGGGAGAGACTGGTTGTGAATACAGCTCGATTTTATAGGAATAGCTCTTGTATGTAATAGCAGATGATCTGAAATTAATTTTCTTCATAAGTGGTGTGGAAATAATTGATGGACAGTAAGGTTCTTTGCTAAATAATTTTTTTAAGAGGGGCCTTGCGCTGTAAAGACCTGCAAGCCCTTTGCCTTCAGGCAGAACTTTGTGTCACCTTTTACTCCACACTAGAGTGCTTGCCACAGAATATTTTGCCAAGCCAATTTCATTTTTGCTGGTTTAAATGAGTACGTCCGTGCTAGCCGCAAACCCAAGTGTTCCTCGGGCAAGCGCAGAAGAGCTGAAAGGCAGAACCCCGTAGTTCAAACTGAGCGGTCTGAGTCGCTCTCCTGAGGTCGAAGTGCTGGGATGCCCTGGAATAACGGGAGCTTTTGGTATGCAGCAGCCTAGGGATAGGTTTGGAGAGCAGGTGTTCACCCTGTTCTGAAAAGCTGGCATCAGTTTAAAGCCGGGGTCTGGAATTGAAGGTCCCGGCCCGCTGGCGGCTGTGGAACAGGGAGGCCTTGGAGGCAGCATTGATCAATCGTTATTCTGATTGCGCGTTGTGAGTATGGTGGGAATCGCTCCGAATCCTAGAGTTCCTGGGAGTAAATCATTCGGAGATGCTACCCACCATAAAATGTAATTTTCAATCTCTATTAAATAGATTTGCAAAGGCCCGCTCTGCAATCTCGTAACAACGTTATGCCCCCCCGGCAGCTCCGCGCTGGGGCCCGGCGAGGGCCGTGCGGGAGCGAGACGAGGGGCCGCGTCCCCCTGCCCGGGACGTTCCCACAGGGCGATCCCCGCTCCAGGTCGGGGAGGGCGAGGGAGGAGGTGACCGTGTCGCCGGGAGAGCCAGCGTGCCGGACCCATCTCTTTCTTTTTCTTTCAGGCAACAGAGAAGAGAGGAAAGGACTGCAAAACTGCCTTTGGAGGCCCCGTCGTCAGCTCCTTGTATCAAGAAGAAACAATCAGGTGATTGTCTGCTCTGCACTTCACTTAAAAAACACTGTTTTTCTAATGGAATTTTGTTAAGCTTTTTTTTTTTTTTTTTTTTTTAATACCACACGAGCGTGGTGGCAACTACAACAGGATAATAAATGACAGGAAAGAACTTTTCAGGTCCATAATCGTTTAAATCAATAACTGCCTGTATCATTGCCAGGTACTAACCTTTCCCTAGTGTGAGATGTGGGGGAAGGGCAAAGCTGCCCATTTTTCAGTTATATGGCTAAAAAAAGGTAATATTGGCTTTTTTATAGAAAGCTCTTCAGGCGCTACCTTTTTCAAATAGTTATTTCTTTACCAATACGTTCATTAAGGATTGTTCAGTGAAGGTTTTAGTATTGGACAATGTTTGCCTTCGGGGAGAGTTTGCACCTTAGATTAATTTTTTCCCGAGCTCTGCAGCTGGCATAGCAGAAACGCACTTCCTGATCTAGAATGGCTGCTCCTCCAAACCTGCCAAGCTGCAAGCACTGAGTGGCATTGGCTTCTCAACGGGGACAGCTGTTGGTTCGGTTCTTTTCATTTCATAGTAAATGCAAACCTAGTAAGCATGGGCATAATATTAACTCTAGTGATTGCTTGGAGTCTTTAGGAATACAGCATCATATTTTTAATTAAAATGAAGAGTCAGAGAAGACCGCATCTTTCAGTCATGGTTGCTGTCATGTTGTAGTCACCCGGTTATGTGTGTGTGATTCTACTTGTTTTCTATTATGCCTTGTGTCATTTTAGTTGCAGTAAATTAAAATATAAATACTGTTTGATTTCTTTTCACCCACACATATATTCCTGAACTTGCCAGGAGTTCTCCCACAGTGCTGAAATTGTAGCACAGCATTTCTGTGACTTGTGGTCATCAACTAATGAAAAATAACTCACAAGCAGGTGGTTCCAAGCTCTTCCCAAGGAGCCCAG